TTTCGTGCAGAAGTAAGAGCGCTTGGAATCCCAGTAGCTAAAATTTATGGCATACCAACTTCAGGAGTTAACTGTACAACTACGTGGTACCTGGATAGAGAACATTTCTGTTAAAATTTCAGTCTTCCAGCTTTTGTGGTTTCTGATTTAGCAACTTTCGCCCAAAAATTCTCACGGCCCGTACATGAGGGCAACGCGCAGCTGCGGGATGAATTTGAAATTTTTGAGTTCTAAGTGAGCGAGGAATATCCCTTCAAAGTTTCAGCTTCCTGGCCAGTCAGGCTCCCGAATTTGCGAACTTTCTCGCCAAAGATTTCGCACGCTTCCACGTCAAGCCTAGACGAGCACGAGGGTTGATACCGTAGCCCTGGAACAGTATTTGGTCGGGGAACGCACTGACAAAATTTTGGCGCCCAAGCTTGCTTAGTTGCCGGGCTGAAATACCCGAACAAACCGACGCATAACACTTACACACAAACGAATGGAAACACACACACATATCGAAGTCGTCACAATATGCGTTCTTGTATTTGCAAAATATGCAAAAATGCATTAAAAAACGCACTAATTCTATAACATTCTGTGTAATGTTTAGTCTTCACCACAGCGCCGCCGACAAAGTCAGAGCCCTCCGACGCGCCATCGACAACCAATCCGAAAACGACAGTGAACACAAATCCAAGTCGTCACCTACCCTCAACAACGAAATCAAAACCAGAAGGTAAGAACAGCTTTTTAACACAGTGGTGAGCAGTGAAAGGTGGTTTGACCATACCAAAACACGTCAATTTTATAATGTTCTATGTTGCGTTTAGTCTTCACGATGACCGCATCAACAACGTCAGATTGCTCCACCGCACCGTCGACAGCCAGTTTGGAAGAGGCAAAGTCACACGAATTGACCACGAATCCAGACCATCGCATGCCGTCGACTGCGGAACCAAAACCGGAACGTAAGAAGGGCTTCTTAATGAAATGACAAACAGTGATAGGTACAGTGACCATCTCAAAACGCACTTATT